ATTGAGTAGCCTAAACAATTTTTTGGCGGTGAACCCAGCGAACCGTCCGGTTCCAGACAGGTTTTTAGATAGTTTTGTAGTGGGTAAAAGGTGGATTGGTTCCGTGTTGAACCCACAAGTTAAACCTTTTAGCCGGGGATCAGACATCGGACAGCCCAGTCTTGTTAAGTGTTTTGCTCTCAGTCAAGGAAGCAAATGGAAGCAACATTCCTTTCGAGAAGTTGTTTTTTCTTTTTCCAGAGCCCACGCTCAGAGCGTTTCGGGGAACCTGTGTCAAGAGAAAGGTGTGATCATTTGGAGGGCAACGCCAAAAAGGAACATATCGTACATTTGACCAACCTACCGTGGATCGGCGAAATCCGTTTCGCCTATTGGAAACCATGGTGGAATCATTCAAGCTTGCCATTATCTACAGGCACTTCATCAGAAACCAGGGTTTCTGAGCGGTGCTGAAAAGTTCTGGATTTCGTCCATCCACTGTCGTCAACTGTTGAGGCGCATCCAACCAGTCCAAAGGCAAGAGTTGGTTCCTGAGCAGCCAACTGCGTTTTCAACCTTGCAGTTTGCCATTCCGTTTCTTGACGTGTTTCGGAAACTCATGGGATGGGTGGGGCCACCCAAGTGAGTTATTCTAGAAAACGGCTTGGATTCGAGCTTTTGGTGGATTTCACCTGTTCTTCCCCCTGCAGGTTCTTTAGTACTCTTTTAGTATCCTACAGGGGTGGATTAAAAAAGCTAAGAACAAGTAATAATCATAATAGTAATAATATACATGTATACATATAAAATCCAAACCGATTCCTAAAGGCGCCGGCATCCGCCAAGGCTTGACCGTCCCAAAGGCCAAAGTTACTGCCGTGGAAATCTGACGCGGACTCGGTCGTTCGAGCCAAGCCCACGAACCGCCGAGGTGTCCCTGTAGCTGTTTTCCTCGACCCACAGGCCCCGAAGCGTGAGTTTTTGGACACAAAAAACATGAATTTGTGTTTTTTGCTTTTCTGGTCTTGGGGCTATAGACTCAGAAATTGGGACCATCCTTTTTCGACAGCAAAAGGCTTTTTTCTGGTTTGGGAGCTATAGACTCACTCGAGTTGATGGACTTTAGCCACTTTTTGGGAATTTGGGCCATTTTATTGTTGTAAATCAAAAGTTCCTTTTTTTTGTTTAGGTCCCCCAGTACTGCCCTTTTACCCTTTTTTGGGGACGGGTTCCCCTACCAAAATAGACTACAGAAAAAAGGGTAGCCTTATTCTAACCTCTCTACTGGAGGGCCTAGTTTTGTTTTGGCCAGTCCACGCGATCGGAAGTGAGAGGAAGCTCTTGGTCCTTCTTGCCTTTTGACCAATCATGGTTGTGCAGTTGGGGAACATTTTATATTTTGCTGATTGTGGTTTAGTGGTTGAAATCCCCACTTAACTGCTGAAATTTAATTTGTTGCTTCCCTTCCAACGCCAACCAAGCAATGTTCTCCCATTGCCGAGTCAAACGCTCGCGGGTCCATGGGTCCATGTTCGTGCCCTTCCGCGCGAGGGAAATTCTTCGGAGGTGGGCGTGGTTCTTTTTTCGGAGCCCTGTTGGGCATTTGCAAGGACATCATGTGTTCTTGGTGCCCAGCAGATCTTCCGGTTCCAGAAAGGTTGTTAGATACTCTCAATTGGTTCAGTGGTAGTTTCCACTGAACCCACACACTTTTAGCAGGGGATCGGTTTGGACAGCTCAGTTTTGTTTCGGAACACGTTACCCTGAGCCTGCGGTTTTGCATGAAAAGAAGAATCTGGAATCTAGATATGTTGTTGGGTCCTCAAATTTTGTCACAAACCCGGTGATCCAAGTGAATGATCTTGCAATGCCAAATCACATGACGAGCGCATGGTGTTCCTTGTCGCACAATGCAATGCCCCATTCAAAGCGAAGCTTGTAATTATTTCAAGCTGCGCTTGGGCTTGTATGTTCCACCAGCAGCGGATCGCGCTGGGAGCATGCGTTTTGTTTAGCCGTCACACAAGTTGATGAACGACGTTGTGGTGCGTCCTGAGACTGGGGACCAAGAAAAGAAGGTTTTCGTCTTAGTCTCTCCCCCGTTGCCCCAGTTTTAGGAACCCCCCCAATTGCATGAGCTGATCGCCCCATCCGCTGCCAAATGTGGCGTATAGTGGCGATGGATGCGCACAGCTTCAGCCACATGAGCTCCGAACCCGCACTACCCAGGTGAAATTAACTGACTAGCAGTTTCATTTGGAGGAAAGGCGCCGTCTCTTTGCTCGCGGGTTTCCCTTCAACATGGAACTTTGCCGGTCCCAGCCGTTTTTGTCACTTTTGTGGGTGGTGTGGTTGCTTCGCCATCGCCAAACAGTGGTGCTGACGTCGCACACGGAAAAGCTCCGACGCTACGTGGGAACAACGGGACTATGATGTGTTGCTGAATTCTATTGATTTTCGGAGCTCTGTGTATGTATCCAACATATGCTGGCCTCTCCAGATCGTGGTTGTTTCTTAGCTTGTGGGTGCGTGCGCTTGTGTTTGTTTTCAGTGTGTGTGGCTTGTGTTTTTCCTTTTCAAGGGACCCCCTGTCAGGTTCCATTTTAAATGGTGGGAGGGTACCCCAACTGAACATACCCTAACTGGACATACCAAAATTCAGAGGTGATGAATGGACTATAGAGGGTACAGGGTCCATCCAGGTCCGATACGTCCATGGCCACAATCAAAGCTCGGGTTTTCCCGAAGGTTGGGGATGACTTGACAATTTATAGGTTTTGGACCCCCTCAAGCACCAAGTTTTGTTGTGACTCACTTGGGGTCTGTGAGTAAGACCGCGAGCGTCCCGCGAACTTTCCAAATTACTTTGACGAGGCCCGCCCTTCCGCTTTCACCACGTCTTGCTGGGCAGGGTCCCCAGAATTCGTGGAGCTGTGGGTGACAGAGTGCCAAATGCATTGCTTGTTTGTTTGCTTGCTAGTTTGCTTGTTTGTTTGTTTGTTTGTTTGTTTCGTTTGTTACTGTTGTTTTGCTTTGTGTTGCTTTGTTGTGTTTCGTTTCCTGTGTGCTTTTGTGTGTTTGCTTGCCTGCTTGCTGGCTGGCTTGCTTGCTTGCTTGCTTGTTTGTTTGTTGGTTGGTTTGTTTTGCTTTGCTTGCTTGCTTGCTCGCTGGTGTGTTTTTTGCTTGTTTGTTGAACTCCCATGCGAGAAAATCAGTATATACTGATTTCGGGAAGCACCCAGCAAGGCTTCTTCTCCACGATCTGTAGGGAATGACCTTCTGGGTGTTGGGAATGAACCTAGGGATCCCTTAAAGGAAACCATAGGATGGATGGCTTGTATCGGGGTCATTTCAATTCTCATTTCCTGCCTATCGAACCAGTAAGTTTTGTTTGATGCTGTAAACATGGTGAAGTGGCTTTGTTTCCGAATTGGAGGGGCCCTTAGTGTCCTTGTTGAAACATAGTAAACAGGGTACCCTCATGTTCGAACCCGGCTGGCTTCGGTGATATGTGGTGATGCTTATGACTAAAACGAGTTGTGCAAAACACTACGCGATGGAAGCTGGAAGTGGCTCCATTGCCAGCAAGCCCCTCTGAACAATCCATAGTTTTGCCTTCTGCCTTTGCTGAAACAAGCCACCCACTCCAGTACTTCAATAGAACACCTGTCAAAGCCTGGGAGTTGTAATGGTTTTTCTTTATGCAGGGCTCCTTAAAAGATCTCCATTTTGCAACCATTTGAAGCATGGATTTGTCCACCCAATTGAAGGGAAACCACCATTTACAAGTTGCAATGTTCAGGTGTAAAATGTAAGGATCCCACTGTGGGAGGGTACCTGGAACCTCTTGGAGGGACCCCTCGCAGGTGCCATATCAGTGGAAGGGTACCCTCTGCGAATACGGGTGTGTTTGATCGCCCTCAAAATGAGCCGTTGCGAAACTCGGGATCTGAGGCTCAAGGGATTTGAGGCGTTTTTTTTGCGCGAGAGCCCGGACCAAATCCAACACATTACCCTGCCAGCAAACATGGAACCTGACATCTGGGGTCCCTTTAAAAGTCGAAAAGGAAAATGGCCCCAACCAGGACCTTTCTTTCAGGCCACGTTGATTGGTGGGAGGGTAACTTTCAAAGACCAAACTATATATCAAACAGGACACCACTGGCAATACTCAATGCACCAATTAACAATGTCAACATCGGCATCAATCATCAATCATCTGGATCCAGACCCACCTGCCTGTCGTGGCTGTGCTTCCACAGCAGCCAGCACACAACAAGCAAACACGCAAACAAAAACACAAACAAACACACAAGCAAGCAAGCAAGCAAGCAAGCAAGCAAGCAAGCAAGCAAGCAAGCAAACAAGACAGACACAAACAAACAAACAAACAAAAACAAACAACAACCAAACAACAAACCAACAACAAACCAACACCAAACCAACCAGCCAGCCAACCAACCAACCAACCAAGCAAAGAAACAACCAACCAACCAACCAACCAACCAACCAACCAACCAACCAACCAACCAACCAACCAACCAACCAACCAACCAACCAACCAACCAACCAAAGAAACAAGCAATCGAGCAATCAAATAAACAAAGAAACAAAGAAACAAACAATCAATCAAACAAACAAACACCATTTGTTCCTTTGTGTTTGGCTTGTTTGACGCGATTGCTGGAAGACGTTTAACGAACTTGGGCATGGGGGGAGTGCCACGATTCTGGATGCAGCATTTATGTTTCTAAGTACAATTACAGTATTTTGATCCTGGATCCAAGATCCAAGATTTGGGTGCAATTTTGGATCCATGAACGACCTTCTGAGTTCTTAATGCTTCATTTGTACGATTCACATGAAACTCTTTAGATACCGTATTCAGGTGTACACATACACTATTTAGATCAATGATCCAAGATTCTCAACTACAGCAACACGAGGGCGCTGGGCAGCGGGGCGGGGGGGGGGGGTATTGCATATGTATATATATATATGTATATTCCCCTTTTGCCAGGTGACATGTACTTGGAGCTGGTGCCTGGGGCGCCTTGGAGCGAAGACGTGTTGGTTTGTTCTGGTGTGGTTTTTTGTGTATGTGTTCTGTGTTTGTGGGTTTGTTTGTATGAATGCATGTCCGCATGTTTGTTGGTTTGGTTGGGTTTGGTTGGGATTGTTTGTGTGGTTTGGTTGTGTGTTTGATTGATTGATTTATTGCTTTATTTATGCATTGATGTGTTGATTGATTGATTGATTGATTGATTGATTGATTGATTGATTGATTGATTGATTGATTGATTGATTGATTGATTGATTGATTGATTGATTGATGATTGATTGATTGATTGATTGATTGATTGATTGATTGATTGATTGATTGATTGATTGATTGATTGATTGATTGATTGATTGATTGATTGATTGATTGATTGATTGATTGATTGATTGATTGATTGATCGATCGATCGATCGATCGATTGATTGAATGATTGATTGATTGATTGATTGATTAATTGATTGATTGATGAATTGACGGATTGGTGGTTTGATTTGATTTGACTTGACTTGATTTGATTGATTTGATTGATTTGTTTTGATTGATTGATTGATTGTTTGATTGATTGGTTGGTGGGTTGATTAATTGATTCATTCATTCATTCATTCGTTTGTTCGTTCAAACGTTCATTCATTCACTCATTCATTCATTCATTTGTTCGTTCGTTCGTTCGTTTCTTCATTCATTCATTCATTCATTCATTCATTCATTCATTCATTCATTCATTCATTCATTCATTCATTCATTCATTCATTTCATTCATTCATTCATTCATTCATTCATTCATTCATTCATTCATTCATTCATTCATTCATTCATTCATTCATTCATTCATTCATTCATTCATTCATTCATTCATTCATTCATTCATTCATTCATTCATTCATTCATTCATTCATTCATTCAGTGGTTCATTGATTGATTGATTAATTTGGTTGGTTGGTTGGTTGATGGATGGATGGATGGATTGATTGATTGGTTGGTTGATTGATTGAATGTAATTTGTTTGTTTCTTTCTTTCATTGTGTTGTTTGTGGTTGTGGGCGGTGCATATTATTTGGTTGATCCTTAGATTTGCAACCATGTTGCTTACATGAGTTTTGGTTTTAAAGTCATTCGCAAATGTATGTTTGGAGTCCATGTTTCACTTGGGCGAAATGTAGGTGGGTCTGTCTTTTGTAGGATATGTTTTACGTGATGGTGTTCCCTTTGGTTGCTCTTTACAACCGCAAACATCGGGAACCCGAAATCAGAGACACAGCCATGTGCTCGGTCCCCGCATCAAGATGAAACCGAGAAAGGGCATCCCCCGATGACGACTGAAAGGGGCTTCGGTTACAATCTGCAAGCACTGCAAGGGAGTATATAATGCGGGGGTGTCCCCTAATAGTGGGGATGCATCACTTTTGGAGGGGAACAACCCCCCACTTATAGGATGGGTTATTCATCCGGGGCTAACATTAACGGACACAGAATATCCGAAAGAATCTCAGGAAAAGGAAACCTCCGCGAAGATATGCTTGTTGCGGACAGGGGCGCCACGTCAGGATTTGTGTGGGAAGACGCGCTGGTTCGATAGGCAGGAACGAGACATAGCTTGAGTAAGCCCATCTATGGCTTCCTCTCAGGGAATCCCAAAGGGT